TCTGATGTAATGAACCTTGCATATATTAAAATAACTTTTAGTCAGATCGTCTTTTTTTTATATCTTTGAATTTTTATTCAAATGGAATAGGATATCGAATAAGTTCTGGAACAGTTTTTTTATAGTATCTCATAATAGAAATCAATCGTTTGGAAACAGCCAATTTATCCTTCGGTGCTTCTTATTTTAAAAAAAAATAAAAAAAATAAAATAATTGGGGTTTCGAAGTTAACAAGTAAGCGATATTTAGAATTTTTTCAATAAAGATTATTGCGCAGTATATTTAAAATTTGGTAGATTTGATTGGTCGCTAACTAATTAGCCAATCACATGAATTTTCTGCCGGAAATCTCTAGAATCATGCGATTAACATTTTATTACCATAAATGGTGTGATTGATATCATCCATTTTTGGTAATATACCTGACTGTATTAGGACTTATATACATAATCTGTTGATCATCCTTCCAAGCAAGTATCTCACAAGTTGGGTATAGGGATGTTGGTATTACCAAATACAGAGATAATGGGATATTGGTGTTGTCTCTGAGTTACCCAACCAGAGAACTTATACATGTGATCTTCTACTGTCTAGACTTTTTGTAATACCACTATTATATATAGTGCCTATACTTCACAACCTGGTCTTTTTCTGAGAACTTTTTATTCTGGTTTCATACTGTATTTGAACTTTTCACAAGGTTTCATATCTAATTATAGCCCCTGTAAATTACAGAAACAAATTTTATTAAAATTTGCCTCCAGCCTGACTTGAACTATTAACCTAGTCTGTGGAGATTTGGGAGCTTAACCAATAAGCTATAAGATCAAAACCCCCAAATTTACTATAGTTATTGCAGGATAAAATACAAAATCAAACTATTTGTTAATTAAACTTAAAACCCTTAATTTAAAATCTAATTCCATATCACATAAATCAACTGATTGCTAAATTAATTTCTATTCAGAGTGGACATGTGAAAAGTAAAGATTTATTAGATTCAAATAAATATATAAACCTAATAAAAGATATCAAAAAAGAATCTAGTTTTTCTATTTTGCTTTATAATAAATCATTTAGCAATTGATCACAAAATCATATGCAATTTTTTTACTAATTTCAGGTCTTATAATTGCTATTTGAACCTTTAACCTGCATCACAATATAGATTTGATTGTATCTAAACAGCTTCGCTACCGTATTTTAACAGGTTAAATTAATATAACCATATCTGGCTAATTCAATAAAAATGATTCTGCTTGATGATATGCTTAAAAAAAAAAACTGCAACTTGTTTTATATTATTTATTAATTTGTTTGCCTATTCAAGTTTAATTATGTCCTTAATTAAGAGATTTCTAATATGCGTACTATAGCCTAACAAACCAATTGAGGATAATTCTTATTTAGTAATCTTCAGACAGTTCTCATGAAATTTATGACTGATTCTCATCAAATATTCAACCACCCATCAAAAACTAATGTAATATTCATTACTTCCTTTAGAATATTATCTAAATTTTGCTATTCAATCTGATATTCTGAATCTAGCAAATTATTTGCCAAATTATGCTAATTAGAAATATGTATACAGTTTTAACATAATGTTGTATAGCTTCCATAAATTCATCCCAGAAAGGATTTTTAATAGCCATAAAAGAAATACTAGCCAAATAAAAAAACCTTGCTAATATACTATCCACATCCGATTTATCTAATTGCACATTATTATTTAAACCAGAATCCTGATCCTGAATTTTTAATGAATCTCTTATATTTCTTGAAAACTTTTTACATTTTAATAAATGGCCTTTTAATTGGTCAACTAAATCAACACAGTCTTCTTCACAATAATTTGATTTTTGGCGAGGTGTTTTTCGACCATGTTTATTAGGTTCAGCAACTTTCATAAAGTTCAAACGGATTTCTTTTAGAGGGGGGTCTTCCGCGAACATAAGACATTTTTGAAAATTTTTATCGATTAATTTATTTTTGAATAGCATGAAAAAAATTCTGTGCCAGGTTTTGTCGATCATTTTGGCACAGATCTCTAAACTACAAATCAGATTTCATGAATCATGTGTAATGTAACACGATCAGTAAATTTCAAAACAAACGTTCGTTTTGTCAAAAATCGCTTATTTCTCAAAATCTGCATAAAAAACTACCTTTAGTGCTCTAACAAAAAGTTTTCCTTGAGCGATTTTACTATATAATTTCCTAATCTCTAACTTTATTCTAAACGCTAACCCTAACATTTTAAGCTTTAAAAATTTTGACTACGTCCAATGATCGACAAAACCTGGCACAGAATTTTTTCATGCGACACCATATACATTATGTCCAATAATAATAATAATAATAATATATATTGTATACAGATAATTGTGGTAATATACATTTGTGTGTCATAATTTAACAGAAGTACAAAATTATAAGATTAAAAGGAATTATCCTTAACCGGTTTGGCTATATTTGGTTTAGCGTAGGCTAAATAATCTAATTTGAGTTGTTGTTTGAAGGCGCTAATGTCTAAAAATAAATAAATATGTATTAATAGATAATAAGATTATGAAAAATTTAGATCATGCATTTTAGGATTCTAGAAATTTGATCCAGTTTTAAATACATATGCCTTGCCTGAAGATACACCTGCCTAAAATTACTAGCTAATGCATGCAAGAATGATTTAATTTCAGGTGTTAATTTCAACCAAGTACAACTTCAACCATCGAAGTTACGACTTCAGGTATGACATATATACAGGATAGCTTACCCAATTTATCTGAATAACTCTAGTTAATAAAGTTATAGTATAACGACAAGTCATTCACAGTCTGTTGCTGATATGCGTCCGATATAAAGTAACTGCCTTGCAAAATAATAGGTTGAATGCAAATGTTAGATGCTTCATTATAGACCGGGAGATACGAAGCTGAAGGACACGTATCAAGCATAACACTTGGCGTATTATTATTTGCTGGGAAGTCAACGTTGAAAGATTGAGTCGAGCTCGGTGTAAAATTTTGTTCAAAATTTTGCAATTTCAAAAGTTCCTTAAACTTTTCTATTTATTTATTTATTATTATCAATGTCTTTCTTTTTTTTTCTCTGTGAACTTTAATAAAAAGCGACTTAAAAAGTATGGGATAAAAAAAAAAAGTTGATCTTACCATGCGTAATTTCGATTTTAATATCATTATTTTCTAATTTCAGATATATTTTATCATTTTCTTGAACAAAATTGTAGTCAACAGGTGGATCTAATTCAGTAATATATGGTGAATTAACGAACAAAATTATGGATTAACGTATAGCGCTGCAAACATATCACACCCATAGTGTTTTAAGTCATTTTATTTTTAGTCAATCAATAGTTTTGAAATTAACCAAGAAGTCATTATTAAATCTATCGTCTGGCAGCACTACACGGTAAATGTATATATCTGCATGTCAAAATAGTGAAAAAGGTTTCATACCCTCCACAGTTGTTTTACAATTCACACAATGAAGCATAACCTTATCTACATTATTTTTCTCATGACATTCCGCACATTGGAATAAACACTGCCTTTTCTTCATTCTACATCTTGCACACCTGAGAGCTCCCGGAATTCCATTATATTCGCATCTTTTTTTATCTCTACGACAGCATGCACATGTATCTGATAATCTCGGATTATCTTTTTCTAATGATTGAAGCGACTCGAGAGATAGCTCCTTTCCGGAAATTTGGTTGTTTGATATGAGGTTAGGTGATTCAAAAGCTTATGCAGTGTGAAATAATAAGAAATTTTAGTCATATATATTATTGAATCTACGTCAATATGGATAGGTAAAAGTTATTGACCATTGAAAAAATACCGTGCTTTTTTTTTATAGGAGGAGGGATACATGCTAAATGATGTTTAATACATCTTTTACAACGTTTGTATGAAGGACTATGTTCACATTTCTGCTTCGACTGCTTGCATTCAATACAAGCCAGCCTAGAGCGTCGCTTTGAGGACATGTTAAATTAATTTTAAATCATATGGTATCCTGATAAAATGAACCAAATTTATGTCAAACATTGAAATATGTTTTAAATAATAACGTGTGTTCTAAATATATCTTCAGCTACAAATTGAAGCTTGTGCTCTATACCGATTATAATTATCGGCTTGTAATTTTATTGTAACATTAGCTGCAAATAAATGTGACAAATACGCGATATAAATTTAACAAATATACGGTAGTGGAAAAAGGTTCGATTGCCAAATATGTAAAATATGTATTTTATTTTTATTAAGTGCAATACATCATATAGCGATTAATGAATCCAAAATTTTTAGCTCGGAGCCAGGACTCTAAATTTCGGATTCTATTTATAAATTTCTATAAATTAAATTCAATTTTTTTATGGGTTTCTGCTCGAGTGATATTGTCTCAAAATTTTACGGGCTTCTGCTCGAGTGATATTAATATCTAACTCCTTGACAGAATATAAAACATCTTTTTTATTTTTTTAATTTTTTTTTTTTATTTAGTTTTTTTTTCTCTTTTTTTTTTTACTAGATTGGAAAATGCCAAACTCTACACAATTTTCTGAAAGATGTTTCAATTGCTCTATTGATAAGCAAGCGTGCCACTATGGCGAAAGTCCCGGAATGCTTCGATGTGCTAGATGCAAGGCTACAAAGAAATGGTGCTTGTTTTTATGTAAAAATTGTGAAAATAAGAAACGTGAAAACGAAAATAAAGAACTTGAAAATAAGAAGCGGTTTAATCCGTGTGAGAATTGTGCAATGACTAAAACAGGTATGAAGAATCATCATTTTTATGATCGCAATAAATGCAAGAACGTGAACATCCTTTATACATCCGTAATAATCAATAATATATTAAAGATTCATCTGAAAATTATATCATTGTGCAAAAACATTATATTCAATATCCTAATAATAGTCCAATTGAAATTACCCCTGGTAATGTTCGTCAAAGTCGCACTGTATTCTAATTTTTTCCAGTATTGCCATAAAAAGTTACTGTCGCGTAATAGTGCGTAGTGCACTGATAAAATTCTTTAACTTCGTTTATGTTAGGGTTAGCGTTAGGGTCAAAAATTGGTAAAGTATACAATAAAATTTCCCAAGAGAAAACTTTTG